GGTGGCGGGTGCCTGTAGTCCCAGCTACTTAGGAGGCTGAGGCAGGAGAATGGTGTGAACCCGGGAGGCAGAGCTTGCAGCAGTGAGCTGAGATCGCGCCACTGCACTCCAGCCAGGGGGATAGAGCGAGACTCTGTCTCAAAAAAAAAAAAAAAAAAAAAAGGTGATCTAACAATGAATACACTTCATTAACACACTGAATAAAAAGGTTTAATCACAAGCAGCATTTTAAAGCAATGATGAGTGCAAATTAAATGTTAAGGTATCTGCAGCCCTTATAATGCAGTATGAAAATATCTGATGTTTGTAAGTGACACAGGTCATGTTGCTAATATTAAGGGTTGATAATACTAATAAGGGTGTGTTGTCTCCCTTTAAGATGGAAGGAAATGTTAAAATTTAGTTAGTGGCTGGTGAAAAATAAAGGTGTATTTCTTCTCAGTATCATTATTTTTTTGAGACTCGCTCTGTTGCTCGGGCTGGAGTGCAGTGGTGTGATCTCAGCTCACTGCGGCCTCCACTTCCTGGGTACAAGCGATTCTCCTGCTTCAGCCTCCTGAGAAGGTGGGATTACAGGCACCCACAAGCACGCCAGGCTAATTTTTTGTATTTTTAGTAGAGATAGGGTTTTGCCATGTTGGCCAGGGTGGTCTCGAACTTCTGGGCTTAAGTGATTTGCCCGCCTCTGCCTCCCAAAGTGCTAGGATTACAGGTGTGAGTCACTGTGCCCGACCTCTGTGCTTCTTTTTTAAATGTGGAGTCTTGCTGTTGCTCAGGCTGGGGTGCAGGGGCATGATCATAGCTCACAGCAACCTCCACCTCCTGGGCTCAAAATACCTTCCCACCTCAGGCTCCCGAGTAGCTGGGACTACAGGCACGAGTTACCATGCCTGGCTAATTAAATTTTTTTTTTTTTTTGTAGGGACAGGGGCTTGCTTTACTGCCCAGGCTGGTTGAGAACTCCTAGCTTCAAGTGATTCCTCTGCCTTGGCCTCCTGAAGCGCTAGGATTACAGGCATGAGCCACTGTGCTCAGCCTGATTTCAGTTTTCTTTCTTTTTTTTTTTTTGAGACAGAGTTTCACTCTTGTTGTCCAGGCTGGAGTGCAGTGGCGTGATCTCAGCTCACTGCAACCTCTGCCTCCCAGGTTCAAGCGATTCTCCTGCCTCAGCCTCCCAAGCAGCTGGGATTACAGGCATGCGCCACCACCCCTGGCTAATTTTGTATTTTTAGTGGAGACAGAGTTTCTCCATGTTGGTCAGGCTGGTCTCCAACTCCCAACCTCAGGTGATCCGCCCACCTCGGCCTCCCAAAGTGTTGGAATTACAGCCATGAGCCACCTCGCCCAGCCTGATTTCAGTCTTCTTATCTCTAAAATGGATGCTAACAGCTCCCAGCATGATGACTCCTATCATTTTGAGGACCTGAATACATAAGCAGCCATACAGTAACACTCATGTGTTGCGTCTCCCTGGGACTCCTTGGCAAACACAGAATGCCTAAGTAGGATCTGTGGCCACTGGCAGGATGCCGAAGCCACCCTTGAGGTTGGGGGTCTTGGGGCCATGTGGGGAGACCATTGTCCAGCACCCATTGCTCCCCCTTGGACTTCTCCCAAGCCCGTAGCTGTAGCCCCAAGGTGGTACTTACCAGAATCCCAAAAGCCATGACTTTCAGCACACATTCCAGAGAGAAGAGGGAGGTGAAGACGATGTTGAACACCCTCAGGGCGTTTTCATAAGCAACAGAAGCCCCATAGAACTAGGGGGAAAGAAGCAGGAGTGGCAGGCGTCAGTGAGCGGGGGTGGGAAGTGGGAAGTGGGAAGGCAGCTTCATGGCTGTTTTCTAGGCAACACTCCGGCCCCAGGCAAGGGCTGAGCAATCTCACTGTTGGGAGGCATAGTTCAGGAAAGCCCAGCTCTCCGCCAGACTAGGCTCTTCTTTTCACATCAAAAAACAAAAACTTTCCCCCGCCTCTTTTTTTTTTTTGGTAGACGGGGTCTTCCTGTTTTGCCCAGGCTGGGCTCGAACTCACAATCCTCCTACCTTAGCCTCCTGATAGTTGGGACTATAGGCATACACCATTGTGCCTGGCTGAATTATACTTTTTTTTTCCATTTTTTTTTTTTTTTTGAGAACGAGTCTCACTCTGTCGCCCAGGCTGGAGTGCAGTGGCACGATCGGCTCACTGCAGGCTCCGCCTCCCGGGTTCACGCCATTCTCCTGCCTCAGCCTCCCAAAGAGCTGGGACTACAGGTGCCTGCCATCACGCCCAGCTAACTTTCTATATTTTTAGTAGAGATGGGGTTTCTCTGTGTTAGCCAGGATAGTCTCGATCTCCTGACCTC